ACAACTAAGATTGAAGGACAACAACTTGGTTGTTTCCCTTCCTCAATTCCCCAACACTGTTCCCCTTCCCCAATTCCTCAATAAAATCTTTTAAAAGAAAAAAGAAAACAAAACTCCCTCACAGGCAGTGCCATGTGAGCTGGTTTATTGTCATGATGCAAGAGCCATGAATTGTTGGTGAAAAGTTCAGGTCATCTAACTTTTTCACACAGCCATTTCAGCACTTCCAAATAGTAAATGTGGTTAACTGTTTTGTCAAGTTGGTACAAATTCATAATGAATAATCCCTCTGATATCAAAAAGGTTAGCAACATCGGTGCAACAGGTTCGCGAACTTGTCAGACCTCGTATGTATGTATATACACACATATATGCACATATATACATATACTACATATATGGTACCTTTGTTTTTATGGAACAATAAACCCAAAACTAGTAAATATGATTTCTGTTAAGAAAGGGAATAGGGGAGAGAAAACAGGGATGAAAGTTCAACTTGTCTGGATGCACTTTTGTTGTTTTATAGAAACTATGCTAATGTTTTCCATATAATAAATCCAAATAAAAAAAAGCAGTATTATAAAATTGGAAATAAAATGAAATAAATCAAGTATCAACTAGATATCAAGTTGGTAGCCTAACCATATAGCAAATGGTTTCATAGGCCTTTAAAAATGCAATAATTTTACTGTATATGTCCTACAGGGGGTATATACTAAAGGATAAAAAAGAACTACAGGGCCGGCGGAGTGGCTCAGTTGGTTAGAGCACGAGCTCTGAGCAACAGGATCGCCGGTTCAATTCCCACATGGGCCAGTGAACTGCGCCAGAGCTGAGCTGCTGGTGAGAGCGTGTGCTCTTAGCAGCAAGGTTGCCAGTTCAACTCCCATATGGGATGGTGGGCTATGCCCCCATATCCCTCCCCCCCCCCAGCAATTATTGGGTTGTCGGAAAAGTCATGATGTATTTTTTCTGCTTTTCGTTGCAAAAATGCATCATGACTTTTCTGACAACCCAATAGATTGAAAGCAGCTACTGGACTTGGAGCTGAGCTTGAACCCACCACAACTAAAACTGAAGGACAACAACTTGACTTGGAGTTGATGGGTCCTGGAAAAACACAATGTTCTCCTTCCCCAAGTCCCCAACACTGTTCCCCTCCGCAATTTCCCAATAAAATCTTTAAAAAAAAACAAAAGAACTACAAAGAAATCCTAAACACTATTCAGGAATCATATTGTTACTAAAAAAACTGGTATTGCTAATTTCAAACAGTTATATATAATACAGGATAAGAAAAAGTAAATTATGTTAATGACTTTAGGTATCAATATTTTCAGCAAAGGAGAAAAAGATACAAATATAAAATCAAATATGCAAAAAACCCCTATGAAATTAAATTGGAAATAGTGTAAATTCTGTATATTTGTCTTTTAAAAAATGTATTTCCTAATTCTGGCCAGTATAAACCCTAGAACTAATAACCAACCTAGCAGCAAGACAACAGTACGCAGACTGGTCTCTAAATACCAACTCCAACTCAAAGGAACCAGGGTTCTTGGTGGCCAGAAATGTATATATGAGCCAGGAACATGTTTAACCAGCAAATGAGGTAATTATCAAAGACTACTGGTAATATAAAAGTGGACAGAAGCCAACTTAAAGGGGTTGTCACTGGCCAAAGACAGGACAATTTGAGTATCAAAAAAAAAATGACTACAATAGGTTGAAACAGTTTAAATATATTCAAGCCTATAAATTCATGATGATTTTTTTAAAAAGGCAAAACCCCTCATGGTTTACCTTTGGAGGTTGTTAGGCCACCAACTCATTACTGTAGTCTGACAATAGAGGGAAAGAAGCGTTTTTCTTGCCCTCCTGTATTTCAAATAGCTGATGATAGTCAAATAGCTGGTGGGAGAAAGTTCTTCCTAAAAGATTTCCAGCTAATAAATACTAAAGGAATGACAGAATTAGAAAATCATCACATTGCAACCCCTAAAGCAAAAATAGATATAGGCAATCTAAATCCATGAAAAGATTTCACCATTAAGTGAAAGGAAGGCTCAAGGGGAAATTCACGATGGATGGATTAGGCTGACAACATCCGCACCCACTACACTGCTAATCTTAATAGCACATAATGAGGAACAACTCATATATTGTGTGTCTCTCTGATAACCAGTGCAACAGGTGTACTGCACCACCCAGAAAATATTCTTGCCCCCCACCAAAAAAAAAAAATCAACATTGAATCTGATCAAGCTTCTAGATCAGTGCTGTTCAACTGCTTTTCTGCAGTTACAGAAATGTTTTATATCTACACCGAATGGTAGCTATGAGGTACCTGTGACTATCTGGCATTTGAAACATGCTAACGCAACTAGAGAATTGAATTTTTAGTTTTCTTTCATTTTAATTCATTTAAATAGCCACAGCTGGCTGGTGGCTGCTATAATGGGTAATGCAATTCTAGATCCAACTACTGGTTTAAAGGAAATAGATGTACATGTTAAAGGATACCATGCGGATACAATCAGTTAAATCTAGATTACTGAGAGGGCAAAGGAAGGCAAGGGAACTGCTATATTTAAAAAGATTTAAAAGGTGTATCAACCAAAAGCAATACATGGATCTGAACAGGATTTTGATCCAAACAAGCTAATTGTAAAAGGACATTTAAGGGACACTGGGGAAATCTGAACCCAGACTAAATACTGACATTATGGAATATTTATTAATTTTCATAGGCTGATGGCAGTTTTGTAAAGGTGAAAAAACAAACTACCTCCTAGAGGAAAAAAAAAAACCTAACTAAACATAAAAATAAAAAATTCAGTTTCTGAAACTTATGTCAATGTCGGCTTCAACTTTCAAACCAAGTTGACATCTTTTTAAAAGTAGGAAGCTCTGACAGAGTGCACTGCTGACGCTGTCAACATGTGCCACCTCTACCACATAAACGGGAACAGGAAGGGCCAAGCAAAGGTCTTCTACCTTTTAATGGGAGGAAAATGGCATCGGTACAATTAACATACACAATTATTACAAATAATTTTGAAAACCTGAATCTACATACACTTTAACGGGCAGTGTAACTGTCTGAATGTTTATAAATCTCTTAACATATTTAACTTTCAGTCTTACTATATTGATCACTGATGATATCGTGAAAGGACATGAAGCTCAGGATAAAATTCAATATAAGATGACACCGCATTCCAAGAAAATAATACTTATTTTTATCATTAACCTACAGTTCTGATGAATCTAAATGTAAATATCTGAAAGTAATGTGTTGGTGATCCTTATATGATTTCCTATCTACAAAATAAAAATCAAGCATGTGGAGAACTGTATAACTACAGGGTACCTACCCTACAATACTGCTTTATTAAATGAATAATTTTTTTAAGATTTAGTTTAAGGAATCGAATGTAAGGCTCAAGGAAGACTCCTTTGTGTAACTATAAACGAAGGCTGGTTACTGACAACCGACTCATCTTCACTCTGATGTTGTAAGGGAACATAAGAAAAACCACTTTATGAGCCTATATATACTTCAAGTATCTTCATGATTAGCGTTCCTAAGGAACTGTCACTTTTTAAACCCTGACTCGATCACTTATTTCCTATCCCTGAGTTCTATGGAGCAATCCGTAAATTAGAGGTTCCCCAACTTCAATCCTTCACCTGCCACATTCCCATTCCTCCTGTGTTAACATGAATGTTTTTGAGCCAACTCACTTTTTAAACTGCTAAACTTCCCACCATAAATGAACCGGCATCACCTGCCGTGGATGACTTAACTCGCAACAAAGCTAGCAAGCTAACCAGAAATGACAGGCAAGGCAGGAGGGTCGTGCTGGCGGCCCCTCCCCCGAAGAGAAGATTGGCCAACCCGCCGCCCACCCGCTGGCCCGGCCGCAGGGAAGGGCTGACCACCTGGCTGGCCCGATGGCACGCCCCGCAGGGCCATATCCGCCTTCGCGGGCCCGCAAGGTGGAGGCGGCTAGGCCGAAGGGCGGGGCGCCGGAGCTGGCCTGGGCCGGCGGGGGCGGGCCTGGCGGCTGGCGGGCTGCTGCGGAAGCCAGCCCCGAGCCATTGGGCTGCGTGGCGGACGGCACCACGGCCACCGCAGCCAAGACTGCCTGAGGGATAGCGCAGGCCCGCCCCTCGCCCGTCCTCCGTGCGCACATGAGGTTGGGGGCCGGCCGCGCGCGCCCCCGAGTCTTCCCGCCGTTACCTCCGGCGGGGGCGCGCGCGCGTCACCGCCAACCAGACGTCCAGCCTCTGTCGTCGGCACGTTCGTTCCGCCCCCTGCTCCCTCCCTTTTAATAGAAACAAACGTCCTTCCTCAACTCCCCTCTGCGCAAATGGGCTTACCCACATCCGGTGATCGGAAGGAAAAAAAAAAAGTGCGGATCACGTGGTGCAGAGGGTGGGCTCCGGTGGCCACGGGTGCTGCGCTGGGTCGGGTGCCGGTAAGGGTTTCCTGCGCCCCTAGCCTAGGTTGTGGAAGGCGAGAACGCGTTCGTTCCTCAGCGTCGCATTTCCCCCACTGCCTTCGACCGAGGCCGATGTCTTCACTTCAGCCTCATCACTGCCCTTACCGCTCACTGGGTCGGGTGGAAAGAAACTTGGGTGGCGGGCCTGGACCTGGACCTCCCCCGCTTCCACATTTGGTATATCCAGCCTCGGGCCGGAAGTCGGGGCTGTGAGGCGGGCTCCCACGCCTATACGGATGGTGGTGGCCTGCGAGGGTCATTTCTAGCGAAGCGGGGGGGGGAGGCCTCCTGCTTTGATCATGTAATTATATATTTACAGAATCCTCTAGCACAGATGAATGAAACGTGCTCCTGCCCCCAAGGAACGCACGCACCGCGTGTCTGGAAAGAGCAAGGAACAGCCAGTGTGACAGGCTCCCAATCGGGATCATTCACTATGCCCAGGGAACTACGGGACCTGAAGAGCCTCCTATAGGAGGTGACCCAGGAACCAAGTTTTTTAGACCGACAGGGGTTATCTGGGAAATAGAGGAAAGAGCATCCCGGGCATTGGGGACAATCACACGTATAAGAAAAGTTTGTTCCGGCAACGTAGTGGTTAATTCTGGCGAGTGTAGCAAGTGCTTGTGACAGTGGCCGTGTCCTGGACATTGCCTCTCTTGATGCTCGCCACTCTTCCAGTGGCGAAGACACCACTCCCAAAATTGGATGTTGGCCCTGATGATGGGACACCCACGTTGAGTTTGGAAGGAAAAGTACACGGGGGAAAGAGGCTTTTAAGTGCAAAGGGTGGAAAGGGTGATAGGGTTAGAGGTGTTTGGAAGAGGGACGGGTGAAAAAAGATTGAGGCCCAACTGGGGAAAGGTGTGTTAGGGAGTCGTTGATAGAAAATTTACACATAACAGTTGGAGACATACCTGAGCAGCCTGTCACAAGGCCGACCTAACTAAGTTGAGTGGGTCATAAGGACAAGAAGGAAAGCATTCAAGGGCACAATGTCTGCTGACGCTGGAGTGATCTGAGAAAACTACAGAAAAGGCAGAATCTGTGGGCCTGGGAAAATCAGCAGGTTTTGCTCAGAGAAAAGGGAGCAGGGCGTCCCAGAGTCCAGACCATTAAGGACAAAGGAGTGGCAACAGAAAAAAGGAGGGCTCTTATATGACAGGGTCTCCAAAAATATAACTGGAACTGAGGGTAAGGACCCCTTGTGTGTAAATTTCCTGAAGACAGCACCCTTCAGCTTGTTTTGAGTTATCCACTTGGTAGTACTGGATTAATTCTTGTGTGAGACACTAAGACTTCATCTGGTTCAGTGGTGGTAGAGTAGCGGGGCATCTTTTGCTTCAGTTTTGCCTGGCTCCTTATCACAGGGGGAAAAGCCTGTATCATTATTACCCAATTATTAGTACACCTTGCAGTCATACTGTTAGGGACAAGCACAAGCCTATATGAAGGAGTTGGATTTCACCCCCAAAGACTGTTTTCTTGTATAAGTCTTCACAATCTCAGAAGTGGGAGTGACAGAGTGCCTTTGGTGCCACTGACTTCCAGGCCATCAGGATGGCTGCTTTGTAGCAGGGAGCACAGTAGGATGATACCTGTGATGAAGAAGCAGAGTCCAGACTTGGAAACAGGGAATCTAGTATCTTCCAAGCTGGCTACTGGTGTTCAGGAATCGGGCGTGGTCAGGGAGCTAAGTGAGCATCTTGACCACCTGGGCCAGGCATCAAAGGGGGCATGGCATTAAGAGTCAGAGGAAGGACTCTCAAAGGGAAGAAGAAACAAGCAGCATGGGGTTTTACCACTATTGCAGGTGCTCCTTTCAGGGCTCAGCCTGGGCACCATCTTAAGAAAGGCCATTTCCTTTACAAGCTGGGCTGAGGATTTCTGCAGGTCTATGATTGGTCACTTTGTATAACCTAGTTCATTGTTAACCTCACTATGTTCATTTAGCTCCTATGTCAAAGAATGCCAAGGTTAGCGCCAAGTCAGGTGGAGACTTTTGTAAAAAATGGTGCAGGAAAGGGTAGAGGGGCCAGAGAGGAGACTTGGTTGAGTCAAGGATTCATCAAAAGCATCCTGAACAGGGAAAGGTGAATGTGCAAGTTAGAGAAAAGCTGCATTCTAGATGTGCTGTGGCCTCGTAAAGGAGGCCCTCAAATATATTATCTTCCTGTCACACTGTGACACTGTTCTGTCAACTGGGCTATGTCGAATGTCTGTCCAGTGTACACTATAGAGCAGGGGGCGGCAAACCGGCTCACGAGCCACATGCGTCTCTTTGGGTATGTTCCATCTCAAAAGTGCCGACCCTGCTACAGAGCGTCCATCAGCTGGGGTGGGAGGGGAGGGACTATGATCTTATAAATAAGTTATCTTCTGACCCAGAGAGAAGATGGGTCTTCCCCAGGGTGATACTATGCCAAAAGACACATCCAGGTTAAAAAGCGTGGGGAATCCTAGGGCTGATTACATCATCTCAGTCTTGTTTAAGAAATAACCTTTTTGGCTTACAGATTTGACAAGATTAAAGCTGCAGGAGAATGGACAGTGAGGTACAGAGAGATGGCAGGATCTTGGATTTGATTGACGATGCTTGGCGAGAAGATAAGCTGCCTTACGAGGATGTTGCGATACCACTGGTAGGCTATAATTTGTGCTGAGGATGATGGGTAAAAAGTATGATCTGATGCGCCCTAGGAAGGTAGGATGTCAATGGACAAATAAACTAGTAGGGCAGAGAAATCAAAGTTGTGGAGTCCACTAACTCGAGAAGCATCTGGAGAGCATTTAGACTTTTTATTTGAAGAGAAATATAGTTCAGAGAGCTGTTGTGACCAGCTCAGATAGAGTCATGCCAAGTCTTGGAACCCAGGCCTTCTGAGCCATTTTCTGTTGACTACACCAAAGCCAAAAAAATCAGATAAGAAGAGTTGAATGCACAAGGTGGGGGGGGGGGACAAGAAACAGGGGCATATAAACTCTACTGTATGTCTTCTCTGCCTATGGCTGGTCAGTCTGTTGGCATTTTTAAAAACTCACATGCTTGGAACACTCACCTATCCTAGGTTCCTTGGAAAATATTCAGAAGACATTTGGCTTTTCTTCTATTGCATGTAGACCAACAGTCTCCTGGAATACTCTTTCCCAATCTCTGGGATACCGCCCTGCAAGCAGTTTGTTAAACCTTATGTAATAAATGATTAAAAAGTTTTGGTTGTATAAATGCTTGTTAAATATCCTATTTATGTCATCGAGGCCTAACAAAGGACAAAAATCAGGGCCTAGGGACTGTTTTTCTTTAGAACATGACGACTATCCTGAGAAGAGCTGTTAATAAAATGTAGTGTACAGGTAGACTGCGGCTGCTGGTTACAGAGAAAGAAAATTCAGCTCACCCACATTTTCATTTACGAATAAGAGGTGATAATATGTTCGATAAATAATACACATATCAAGTAATAAGTCAGCTTAGTTGAAGTTTAGAAAAATAGTCAAAAGAGAGAGCGAGTGAGAGCGTAATGAGAATTATAGCTGCCACTTATTCAATACCAGTTTTATGCCAGGGACTGAGGTTGAAGTTTTGAGGCTGGAGACCCTTGGCCCCACGCTCATTTAACTCTTGACTGATGTCACATCCTGCACGACAAAGTTTGACATACATTAATCCTTAAAACAATCTTGCAAGCGTGGTGGTGTCATCCCCATTTTACAGGAATGAAATGGGATCAGAGAATGGAACTTGCTCAGGGTCGGGTAGCTGATAAGCTGGACTTCACACTTCGGTCTGGGAGGCTCCAGATCCCATCCTGCAAACTTTTGTTTCTTTCATTCCACTAGCATTTCGTTGAAGCTTTTTTTGTGCCATAAGACTACGCGGATATAAGATAAGTTTCTGCCTCGGGGGATCCAGAGAGGTAACATACGTAAATATTGGGTTGTTGGAAAAGTTATGACGTATTTTTGTATGTTTTTCATTGCAAAAATGCGTCATGACTTTTCCAACGACCCAATAAATTATATAATAACAAGGGTTTCTAAGTGAGGGTCATGAACAGCCACCGTAGTATAGGAAATGGCTCATTGCCTGGTGGGCGTCAGGAAAGGCCTCCGAGAGAATGTAAAGTTTAAGCTGGTCATAGGGCGGACCAGGAGATTAGTGGGAGTAGACCAGGGTGCTCCAGCAGAGGGGGCAGATGTGCAGAGGCTCAGAGTTCTGAAAGGCTGAGAGAGTGTGAGGTATTCACTGTATATGGAGAAGATGTTTGTCGTCTAAGGCAGGCAGAACAGATGGGCTTGGACCAGGTTTTACGAAAAATATTTGATACCATGCTTAGACCTCATCCGGGGGACATCCAGGAATGAGTGGTCTTCAAAACAAGTCTGCCATACTCAAATTTAGGTTTTGGAAAACCAGTTTAGCAGCACTGTCAGAGGATGTCTACCATGGAGAAAGGGGCAAGTGACAGGGCAGAGAGACCAATTAGAAAGCCATTGCAGAAGTCCAGGCAAGGAAGGAGGGCCTGAACAATGGCAAGAAAATAGAGGGAAATAACCAAATTCTGGACATGCTTATGGCAGGATTGGGGGATCATGCGTGTGGCAGGGGATGAGGGAGAGGGAAATTTCCATGTTGACTTGCAGGTCGTAGCCTGGCAAATCCATGTCTTGTGATACTAAGGCATTGTGTGTATCAGTTAGCTTTTGGTGCTAACAAATCACCCTCAAACATAGTGGCTTAAAACAGCAGCTATTTATCTCATGACTTTGTAGCTCAGCTGAAAGAGTCTTCTGGTCTTCTTCAACTTGGCTAATCCCTGCTGCACTTGTTTGTGCAGCTGGCTAGCTAGAGGCTCGGTAGGCAGCTCAGGACACTGTCTCATGGCTGGCAGTTACACAGGCTGTCAGCTGGGATGATGAGATGACTAGGCCACAGTCTCATTATCCAGCAGACTAGCCCAGACTTCATATGGCCATCTCAGGGCTCCAAGAGCAGCAGGAGAGGAAACTGCATGCTTCATGGAGCTTAGGCCAAGAACTGGCCCACTGGCACTGCAGCTGCTTTTCATTGGCCAAGGCAAGTCACCTGGCCAGTCCCAATCTAAGACTAGGGAAATAGCCTCTACCTTTTCATAGGAGTAGCCGCAGAGAATTGTGGCTATTTTTACAATATACCATAATAGATGGTTGCATTTATGATACTTTATATTTGTTTTCTAGGCACATATGCAATTTTATATGTTGGCATTCATTGCCAAGAGACAGTAGTGACGAAATGAAAGACATTATTTTAGAACGCATACCACAGATGGAATGAAATTATGCAAAGTTGCCTGCCTCTGAACTAAATAATTCATTAAGCAAGGATTTGTTTATATTTTGTCAGCTATAAGTAATTATTGGAACCAAACTTTCTCTAAGTTTGAGCACGTTATTGCTTTACAATAAATAATAGTTCTTTTCAATTTGCACAAGTATGTTTGATGCAGTCTTAACATTTGTAGAACAAGATAGATGTGATTCAGATATACTTGTCATATTATAAGTAAATCATTTTATATATATATATTGAATATAATTCTAAAGGAGAAAAACATATTCATATACTGCAAATTGGAATCCAGTAGGAAGTCATAAGTCTAGATATTAACAGTTTGCTACCCCTCAAAAAAAAGTGTAAATACAGATAATTAAAAAGAAATTTATTGGTATCAGTGAAGTCTGATACAAAGCAGAGTCCTAGTAGTAATAAATTTAAATTTAAAATATAAGGAAACTATTTTAAAAGTTCTAACCACACACACACACACACAGACACCCAAAATGGTAACTACATGTGTATGTGAGGTGATGGGTCTTAATCATATTGTGGTGATCATTTCATAGTATATACTGGGGATGCCAAACAAATGTATGCACATGACTTGTATTTATCTTTTGTTATTGGTATATATTGAGTATTACTATTTTTTTTTTTCATGCGAGAATCAAACCAGCAACCTTGCTGTTAAGAGCGCATACTCTATCCACTGAGCCATCCGGGCGGCAGCTCAGCTCAATGTGCCAAGTTCAGTACCGGCCGTGGGTGGGCATAGTCCACCATCTAACAGGCAATCTTGTCATTAGGAGCACGTGCTCTCACCAGCTGAGCCATCCTGCCACCTGTTGGCAGCTCAACGACAGACCAGCCTGGGCACAGCTCAGGCGAAGCTCACTGGCCCATGTGGGAATCAAACCAGCGACCCTGTTGCTCAGAGCTTGTGTCCTTAAGCAAACTCTTAACCAACTGAGCCACTCGGCCAGCCCAAGAGTATTACAATTTTAATAGTTTTTTCCTTTCTTAAAATGTGTATACATTTTTTTGGCACCCTCTGTATGTGTATCAAATCATCATGTTTACACCTTAAACTTATACAATGTTATATGTAAATTAAACCTCAATAAAGCTGGGAAAAATATATATATAAAGAAACTATCCCAGATTCTACACTAAGTGTGGCCCCCTGGCTTACCATTTTAAGAAAATGCTGGCAGAATTTGGTCATTTGCCATGTTTTGTGTTGCCCTGCTCCACCACTAGGGGGAGGTCTCATGTTATATTTTCAGTGCTCCCCATTTACCTCCATTATAATTTAGGCATGTTGAGTGCAGGATTGTCTTTGAATACATTTCTTGTGCTTAAGGAATATGCCGGCAAACGTGGTATTCTATTAAGGCAGCCTCCCCCGCCCAAAGACTTGGTATTGGCTCTTTTCAATTTTTCCAGCCACTAATAATAGCAAATATTTCTTGAGCACTGGTCTAAATGACCACATTTAATCTTCACAGAAGTCCTATGAAGTGATGCCTACTTTTTTCTCTTATTTTCAGAGAGGAAACAAAGGCTCCAAGGGTTTGAATACCTTGCCCAAGTAACCCAGCAAACGGTGTAGTCGTGGTTTTGAATCCCAGGTGCTTCCAGAAGCTTGTGCCCTTAGCCTTCTGCCACACTGCCTCCTGCACAAGTGCTAAAGCCATAGGCCATTATTTATTCCTTTCTGGGGATTCCTGAACGATTCTTCCGGTACTTCCTCACATCTTTTTATTCTAGCTCTTTCTTTAGAATACATTTCTGTCAATTGTGCTTCCTGTTTCTTTTGGGTTGTCGGAAAAGTCATGACATATTTTTGTGTGTTTGATTGCAAAAATGTGTCATGACTTTTCCAACAACCCAATTGAAACTCATAGGTTTCAACTCTACTGGCTCTTGAGTTTTAAACAGTTTATTAATGTACAGTACACCGTCGTTCTGAATGTCCACTGTACCTTTTCAGAATGAGCTTCCTGAACCTGAGCAAGACAACGGTGGCACCACAGAATCTGTCAAAGAACAAGAAATGAAGTGGACCGACTTGGCCTTACAGTACCTCCATGAGAACGTTCCCCCCATAGGAAACTGACACCTGGCTCCTTTTTCATAGACAGATTTTTTTTTTCTTAATTCACAGATACAAACTGTTTTCTTTCAGTCTCCTAATTTAAATCTTTTAATGATAGATCACTCAAAAATGTACACCCACTTAGTTTGTGGCAGCAAAGTGCAATGTGGAAATACCAGAACGAGAAACTGATCGAGATTTCTCAGGAATGCAGAATATTTGGCTCTTTGAACCTAAAGTTCTTCATTCGCTAGCTTGTGTTTAAACATGTTTAGTTAAACATTTGCCTTGAACTCTAATTTTGCTTTACTGTCAGAGTTTAACACTTCCCAACTACTTATCTTTGTCCTGTGACAGATCGATTAAAGGTATGAAAGAAAAAGGCTGAGAAAGAGAACGCCGACATAAGGAGAAACGCCCCTGCGTAGAGAAGCAGTCTGAGTGGCTGTGTATGAAGAGGTGTGATGGGTATTCAGAAGCCCATGCACTGACTGCTGGGACCTTTGGCTAGATGGACCACTGGTTTCACCCAGTAATGGAATTTATTTTCTCAAAGCCCTTTGAGATGTAACTGAAATACTAGGGAGTGAGTCCTCAGTTATACATTTATATGAAAACTTGTATTTTGCAAAACGCATTCTTTTATGTTTATCTTTGGATTTATTTGCCTCCATTAAGTGGTGTCTGTCTTGTTGTGTTCTATCCAGATTGTAAACTCTGGGAAGAGGCCCTGACTCATATTCCTGTATCCCTCATGGAAAACACTGAATAATTGAAATTTCTCTTCTCATCCTTTTTCTTTTACTGGCTCTTTCTGTGTACCCATCTTTTAGGGGGAGGAAGTATATCACAAAACAAGTGAGCTGATTTTAGAATTTCAAGCAGAAACATGGTTGTGGCAACTTGCCCATAACCCAGACACATCCAGGCTAATCTTCCTGTGCATCAGTGCCCTGCCTTGAAGTCATTCATCAAAGGCACCAGTCTCTCAACCAAAGAAAACAGTAGAAAAGAGAATTAGGATGTTGAGAAAGCTTTATGCCATGAGAAAACAAAGCTTTTCAAAAAAACTAAAGTGTTACGTTCTTCCACATTCTAGCTAAATGAGAGGTTTACTACAACTTTTCTTGTGGTATGTAATGTCTAAAACACTGACATCTAGGAACTTAGTAGATGTTCATGTGAATCCAGCCTTGCTTGTAGGCTCAGCCTTTCCCAGGAATATTAGACGAGTAAACAAGGAAAATTGTCTTGATTTCACTGAATAAAAGTATGATACCTGTAAGGTAGACCATTTTCCGTTTACCTGCTTGGCTTATGACCCTTATTTGAGAACTGCCCCCCATGCCAAGTTTGTGACCTGTGAGGTGGTGCCAGAGCCATAGCTCATGGTATCTGGAATTAGGTGACCAAACCTAGGCCAAATTGTCAGCGGGGGCTTCGGAATCTGCTCATCTAGGACTGGCTTGAGGTTGGTGAGCACAAGAGATTTGAGGCTGGTGTAGGGTGGCTTTCAAACATCAAAATACCCAAGAAGAAAAGTGTCTGCAGAGGGAGGTGAGAGACTATGGTGCTTTGGTTCCTGCAGCTTTTCAAGTCCAAGCATTATTCTCTGTGGGAGGCACCTAGCTTGGTGCTGGGGATACAGCAGTGAACAAAATAAGCATGCCCTCTGCCTTCATTAAGTAGGATAAATAAGCATTAAACCAATAGCCATGCAAATCTACGATTTCAAATTGTGACATTCCAGGAAGGAAAAATCGAGGACTTAACAGGTTGAGTTCCCAGAAGCAAAGCCTGAGTTAGAGTTTCTCCTGCGAGGGACATACTGAGGTGGTCTCTCGGGAAGTCTGTGGGGAAGCAGGATAGAACGGGAAAGGTGAGCAAAGATGTGGCTTCCGCTGAAGTCTAACCTCAGCCTGATCCCACAGGAGCGATGGAACGCGATGGCACCAAGAGTGTTCCCACTGAGACCAGGGGTCAGGCCTTTGTACTCAGTACGTGTTGGTCACTCATTGGCTCTGCCCTTCCCACCCTCCCCCAGGGAGGGCATAACCTCCTAGGTAGGCACTGCCGGTGTATGTGGCTCTCCAGAGAACAGTGCAACTCTGAGCTCTTGGCAGCCAACACACAGTAACCAGGGAATGGGTGCACAAACGGACCACATAATGGGGATCTGGGCCATGAGAATGACTAGTGCAGGGTATAAGTTATGGGGGGGGGGACCTGATTTAGGTTGGATATTTGGCTCTTTGAACCTAAAGTTCTCCATTCACGAGTTTGTGATAAGTAGGTTTTACAGCACATAATTTGAAATACTAATTTTGTTTCTGAATTTTCCCCACTCGAAGTGGCCAGGTTTTTTGTGCTTCCTGTTCACAGAAGATAACAGACATACTCAAAAATAAGCTTACCCCTTGTTTGGGAAGCAGGGGTGGGAGGGAGAAAAGGTGCCTCTTAGGAGCAGTGTGGAGCTACTACTCCTATGACTAGTAGTGCCCCAGTCGCTGGTGGTACCCAGTGAGATGGTAAACTTAAGAGACTCATTGGGGATGCCCCGAATGAGACCTGAAGCTCAACACGGAGTCTTCCAGCTGAGACAAAGACCCTGGCGCACTAGAGCCACCTCCTACAAGGGCCTCTCAGAATCAGCAGTGAAGATAGCAGCACTGACCCAGAAGAGTAGAGGTCCTCGCCCATTTTACAGGTCACTCATGAGCACCCTAAATGCTTGTGAGACCCTAAGAGAAGGAAAGGACACTGCAGTGACGATGGATTTAATTTCTGCTTCAGCACAGTAAGGCCAAAAAGATTCAATTTGCTTTAAAGAAAATAAAATGTGATTTTTTTCTTACACCCTCCTTGAGTTTGTGAGCCACACCCAAAGGATGGGTAGGAGTAGCCTGGGGAAGAATTGGGGGGGG